GTTAGGCTTAACGAACGAGCCGAACACGAGCTGTTCACGAACAACGAGCCAAATTGACAGCCCTATACCGGAAGATGCGAAGGAGAAACCAAAAAAAAAAAAAAAAAAAAAAAAAAAAAAAAAAAAAAGAACTCCGGTCTGTCTTGTCCGTTGTCCGGACGTCGGATGCAATATTTTCTCGTGGATTTGAAGGGGTGATGGAAAATTCAGAGGTTCTTGAGGGGATTGAAGAGATTGCAAGCTTCACTGTGCTATGAGGCTGATTCTAATATATATGATCTCCATAATTAGCTACTTATAATTATTTTCTCTGCAATGTTCTTTATGCCATTTCTAAAAAGAATTTGCTTGTTAATGTTGATATTCATTCATAAAGGAATTGAGACTTCAAAACTACCTTTTTTTTTTTGTAATATTTATGTTTGGAGGCCAAAAGATTCATTTGCTCTATCGGATGAAGGCTCATGTCCATATGAAAAAAAGAGGAAGATTTATATACATAATACGAAATTCCTATGTATTTACATATCTAACACAAACTTCGCCACTGGGTTGTCAAAATAAGTCGTTGTCTGTGTACGACACGTGTTCGGGTCATTAAATAGCTCATGTTTGAATCGTTCATTAAACAAGCTAAGTGAACACAATTATTTTAAACTTGAATTATAAATGAGTCAAATACGAACAACCCTTTATACGATTGTGTTCGTCTCGTTTTAATTCGAAATCAAAAATTTATATATACTATTTATATAAAGGTATATTATATATATTTCTATTTGAGTTTAAAACATCACAGCTTGTGTGATCATGTGCTTTTGAGCCTTTTATTGCATAGGAGTGATGCAGGTTCAAAAGTTATCGACAAGCCAAGTACTAACTACACTTTGTTCGATCGTGTCTGGCTCATTGCAACACGAAATAAGGAAATTATAAATATTATTAATATAATATCTATTATGTATTTACATATAACTTTATTAAAGTTTAAATCACAACTTATATTGTCATATGATTTTGCACCATTTATTATTGCATAGGAGTGGTGTTGGCTCGAATCTAACACGATACATCTAATTTTCTAATTGATTTAAATGAGTCAATTTCAAGCTGAACATGTACAAGAATATGCAAATCAAACCGAACACGCACACTATGTTCACTAGCATTTTCAAACACAAGCTAATTTCAAACCGAATTAATTTTGAACAAGTTGAAAATGATCTATGCCTAAGCTCGCTCGGCTACTTTACAACTCTACCTACCACCTCACATGAAAATGCATATTTCACTTTTTAAAAGTTGAAATGATTGTATTTTTTATGTGATAAAAAAGATTAGCATGTTATGTAAAAAGTGAATTTAGATGTTAGATATGTAACTACATATGAAATGGGTGGTTTTTAAGTAAATGTCCCTTATCTTTTTTGTTTAAACATTTAAAAAAAGATATCATTTTTTTAACTTCTAAACACACAGAAAAATGCATATTAAAATAGAAAAATGCATATTAAAATAGAAAAATCATAGCGTACCAAACATGTTCTAGTTTCATATTAAAATAGAAAAAAACAAAACAAAAAACAAAAATTGAACTAAAAATAAAAATAAAAAGTGATCCCAAACACTCCTAAGCAAATAGGCAATGATTATCTGTCAAAAGGTGACACTTTATAGAGAAAATTTGGCGTATGTCGTCCGTACGCAAGCTACATACGGATGACGGATGAGATATACCAGCGTGTTTTTTTTTTTCGCCGGGGTATCGGGACAGTCATCCATACCAAGCTCTACGGAAGAAGTACGAAAAAATTTGTCCGCTCTATACACCTTAGAGAGAATGTAATTGTATAAATAAAGATAACTAAATAATAAAAAAAACATCTAATTAAATACTCATTAACAGCATCTAAAATCCCTTAAGCTAAAACCCACAGTTACAAACAAATGTCCACAACAGATCCTTAACATTCAAATAATACAAAACGTCTTACAATCTTAAAATATAGCGAAGACCATACAAACCAGTGCTAATCATGAGAAACTAATCTAGCAAGTGTTACATTTAAGCAGAGGAAGATAGTTTTCCACACAAACCTTTGGCTAAGCAAAAATTTACATTGCTTCCAATCTTTTGAAGGGGTAATCTATCTATCCAGGGCCGACTTTGGGAATATCATAATGCTCACTCAGATTTGCCAGGTATTGGTTGAACCCTTGGATTCTATCACGGTGAGACTTATTTGCAGTTTTAGCCATGAGATGCTGGTCAATCTTTCCTCTCTGTTCGATGTAGCGCCTCTCTGCGGGTGTGAGATGATCGTCATATACCTGCGGCGTACTTTCTTCGCCAATTTTGTTTGCTTCGATCACTTCGTCTGGTGTCTCTGTGGACTGTCCAGAACTTCCTCCTGCACGCCGAAAAAAACAGACGGAGACCCTCATAAATGAGCTTGGTTCAAGATTACAATTCAAATAATGGATACAGAGAACAAGATGGCAGCCTGGTTAGGGTTCTAAACGAGCTCAGGCTTGGCTCGTGTTCAGCTCATTCGAAATTGGCTCATGTTTGAAATGGCTCGTGAACAGTGTGTTCGCGTTCGGCTCAAAATTGACTCGTTAGAAAAGAAAATTATTATAATAATTAATTTTATAAATAAAATTAAAATAATAATTTTTCTAAAAAAAGCTGTTTGTATAAAAAAATGATTAATTATAATTATAATATATAAGTTTATGAATATTTATTATGTATATATATAATATATTTATTTATTTATTTATTTTCGAGCCAATTCAAGCAGAACACTAGCGAACAAACTTTTGTTTGTGTTCGGCTCGTTCACATTTTGGGCTTAAAAATTTGTTCGTGTTCGGCTCATTCGTTAAGCCTAACACGAGCTGAATACAAGCTGTTCGCAAACAATGAGCCAAATTGACAGCCCTACGCCTGGTTGTTTTAGTGATTGAGGATTTTGCACTCCTAAAGGGTGAAAGCTTTGATGTCATATCATTACAATTTTTTTGCTTAACATTCAATTAAAAAAAGGAAAACGAAAAATTTCCAAATTACTTCAGCTGTCAAAACGGCTGTAATTCATACTCTCGCCAATGCGATGTTTAGCAAGAGGATGATGATGTATGATGTTTAATCCCTACATTTGCATCACAATATAAGCAATCTATTAACTAATATAAACCTGAACGTTTTAAAATAATTATAAAAATAATGCAGTAGAGAATAGTAATAATAATAATACAAGAAAACCATTATATTGCAGATATTGTAAATGTTGCCAGAAGAAGAAGATAGGAGTTACAGAACTGAATCGAGGCAATACAAAATAGAAAGGAATTGAATCACCTGATGGATACTCCTTGCCTCCAATATGAGACTCATTGTTATAGTGATGGCTATGCTTCTTTTTCTTCTTTACTCCACCAGACTTAACGTCCAAAGCTTTTCCTTTCAGCTTTAACTTCCCAACAACTACATTCTCGTATGCTGACATTTCTGCCTAAAAGAAGAAAAATGCTACATTTAGCATGAGCTGAAAAGATTTGAACTGTATAACATTTGAGAAGAAGAAAAGAATATATAAGCACTAAAATTTAACTTATAGATGCTAGAATCAATGTTGTCATTAAGTTATCGGGATTTCACCATGATAAATTTCTGATACTTGCAAGATCTGAAGGAGACATATTGTGGGAGATGCATGACAAGAGACTCGATGCATAATAAAATTTAGAAAAGTTAAAAGCCGTACAATACAATAGAGAGTACTAATAATGATAATACAAAAATGCCATTACATTGCAGAAATTATGCTAAGGTTGGTGGCAATCATTATCATCATTAGGATTATCCCAACTTTTTGGGTTAGCTTTATATATTCCTTATTATTCATTTGTATTTATTGAACGCACCACACAGATAAACAAGTTTTGTAGAACATACATCCAAGTTCACTTTGGTATGAGCCATTTTTTTTAATCATTTAGCATTGAATTTATCTACCCTTATTGGTGCATCGCCTATTCTTCATTGAATATGGCCAAACCATCAAAAGACTATTTTTAGCTCATATCTTCAAAAAATGCCATCTTCGTTGCCTGTCTAATATAATCATTTTTCAATTTTTTGTACAAATTTTGTCACATGACCATCTCAACATTTTAGTGTTATAATCTCAAATCCATACAAAACGGATGTTAAAATCACCATGCATGCCCCCACGCTTTACCAGAAGTCAACACATGCACACACAGCAGATTCACGAAGTTGTTCATTGAAAATCGGTCCAAACATCATCTAAAGTCTCCAAAAACCTTAACATTTTCAAAAGTTGAGTCTCGAAAAAGGCCTACAAGAGTTGGCTTTAATGTGATCATCAACACTAAGTTGTTGAATACCCTCTAGGACACAAAATCACCAAAAGAAATTTGTCAATTTACCCTGAGTGTTCATTAGTCAACTAGGGCTTCTTATCAGAAAAACTAAGGGAAATTGCCCTCAATTCAAAATTTACTCATTGCCATATAGATGAATAGCCAATTATAAATCTAACTCGTCCACTAAATAGCTAGCAATAACAATTTTAACTAGCACAATTTCTATATAATCATACAACAACAACAACAACAAAAAAGCCTTAATCCCACCACGTGGGGTCAGCTACATGAATTCTTTTTCTCCATTGCGTCCTATTTAGTGTCATATTTTCATTTAGTTCTAATAAATTAAGATCATTTTTTATACAATAAGCCCAAGTCATCCAAGGTCTACATGTGCCTTTCTTAACATAAGTTGAAACTAAAACATCTACTATCGTAATCGGATCATTAGATGGTCGACATTTAATGTGATCAAACCATCTAAGACGACTCTCTCTAATTTTGTCCGTCATTGGAGCTACACCAACCCTATCATGGATATACTCATTTCTCATTTTGGTAAAGGTAAAACCATTCATCCACCTAATCAGTCTCATCTCGGCAATAGTTCACTTAGTATTATGCTTCTCTTTTAAAGGCTAACATTAGCGCCATAGAGCATTGTAGACCTTACCACCATCTTATAAAATTTTACTTGCAGTCTAAGCGGCAATTTTCTATCACACAAAAGGCTCGAAGCATTCCTCAACTTCAACCAACCAAATTGAATTCTACTATTAACATACCCATCTATATCACTATCGCTTTAAACATCATACCCGAGATATCTAAATCGTTCACACCTTTTAATAATTAGATCACCCAAAGTTACACTTTTGTCACTTGACTACTACTAAAATTACATTCCATGTATTCAGTTTTAGTTCTACTCAAATGAAAGCCTTTAGACTCCAATGTAAACCTCCATAATTCAAGTTTTTTCTAGGCTTTTTCTCTCGTCTCATCCACGAGAAGGATATCATAGCATACACCATGTTACATCCTTCTATAAATGTCCAGTAAGACCATCCATAACTAAAACAAAAAGATATTGACTTAAAATCGATCCCTGATGTAATCCAACAGAAATAGGAAAATATTTGGTCAAACCTCCTTCAGTTCGAACACAAGTACCCTTCAGTTCAAAAACAAGTACCACTCTAGTATACACATCTTTAATGACTTGAATATAAGTAATATCAACACTTTTCTTCTCAATAACTCTCCAAAGAATATCTCTTGGAACCTTACCGAAAGTTTTTTCAAAATCAATAAAAATCAAATGTAGATCCTCCATCTCTTAATTTCTCCATCAAACCTCTCAATAAATGTATAGCTTCCATAGTAGACCTGTCCGGCATAAATCCAAAATAATTATGAAAAATTTTTGTAATATGTTTTAACCTATGTTCAATTACCCTCTCTCACATAATTTTAAAGTATGAAACATCAACTTAATTCCTCTATAATTTGCAAACTCTTGTGCATCCCCTTTATTCTTATAAATAGGGACCAAAATACTCTTCCTCTACTCTAAGGCATCATTTTAGTTTTTAAAATAATATTAAAGAGTTTAGTAAGCGAAGAAACTCCCAAATCTCCTAAAATTTTCACACTTTAATTGGGATATCATCAGGTCCTACAGACTTTCCACCATTGGTTTTCTTTAAAGCCCCCTCTAACTTTTTTACTAATGCAATGGTAAAAATGAAACATTTTATTATTATTAACGATATTAAGATCCCTAAGGTCGATATTAAGATCCCTATGAAGGTAGTTTTGCTGCAGTAGATTTAAGAAACTTATTACGGAAGAAGCAACTCTGTTGCCCCTGCGATTCCATATGCACTACTCAAATGATAGGCAGCTACACGGAGGATTCCGGTGGCTGAAAAAAGATCTAGGGTTTGATTCATAGCCCTCATACCATGAATAAAATAGGTTTTGGATAGAATTACTTTGATTCATTATTCACAAAGAGAATACATATATATAGAGAAATCAATCCCTCCTTATTTAGAAACTTACCAAACATATTTCACATAAATTAGGAAAGGAAATAATTCTGAATAAAAAATAGAAAAACATAAAGAGTTCTTGGAGTTCTTGGAGTTCTTGGAGTTCTTGGACAGAGAAAGCGAGGATATAGAGAGAGCGATTTAGAGTTCCTAGAGATTGATTCGAGAGCCTAGGCAATTAAGAGAAACAATCCTCTTGAGGCAAAAAACCATTCTTCTACCTCAAACATTAGTGTTATTGCCCCTTCAAAAATTTCTTATAAGAAATGCATGATTTAATTAATAATCAGAGTTTTTAGTGAATTTTTATCAATAAATTGTAATGTGTTGTTCCATACACCATTGTGCTACGCTTTGAACTCAGCACCTTGTGGTTAAAGATAAAGCATTAAACCATTAGTCCAAGTGGGCTACATCAAATAGCAAAAAATATTGTTATTTTCAAATGATTTGTACACCATTATCGTGAATAATTTGTGAACCATCATGATTATTATTTAACGGTCTACAATTATGGCCTCATGCATGTTAGAGTATTGTTATGTGGTATGGTGACAAGCAATGTTATGAAAACATGCATGATTGAAAAAAAAATAGAAAAACATAAACAGGAAGGGAATAAGCTAAATAAAAGGTTTCCCAAGATATCCCAATAAAACCCTCTAAAGAGTTGGAGGTGGTGGCCGGCCCACACGAGAGATAAAAATGGAAAGGATCAATTTTTCTCAAATTTCCATAATTCCTTTTCCTTTTATAATTGCAATATGAAATGATGGATGCGAATGATTAAGAGATGATGGATGCGAATGATTAAGAATGAAACTTGAATTAGGCAGCCAGCATGCTAAAAATTTAAGTCTGAATTCAACTTGAGATAGGCAGCTATCATCTTGAAAAATTAAATAAGAATGGATACTGAGTTGGTAGTAGCCAATTTTGAAAAAATAAACACTAATTAATGGAATTTAGACTCCAAATTTAATATAACGATTCATTTCCATGTCATATACAAAAGTATCATAGCATAATGTTGATAAAGAAAAACAAAAATAGCATGCAACATGACCAAAAAAATTCAATATCACCTACGATATTTATCATTAATTCTAAGGCATCATAAAATGTTCATTTTACAAGGTACCAATCATTTATGAAAGTTGTAATGCCATAACTAAATCATCACCAACATAATTGAACAAAATACACGAATGCTAAATAGTGCTCAATAGTCTAGTACCATAGCATAGGAAGGGGGGGATACAAGAGCACCAAAATTTTGGAGCTTTACCTTGCAATATTTCATGTTTATGCATAACATGGAATGATCATTATGCTAATATAAATTCAAAATTCATTGTTAAACAAAACTAATCATTTAAATCTCTCCTTTCAAGTTTATCCTCAGCCAAGAATAAGTACGGGAAAATCATAAATATTGACATTCATCAAAGAATTTTTTTTCCCATTTCATCATTGGTTAGAAAACATATAAACAAATAACAAAAAGCTATATGAAAGGTAAATCCATAATATGACTTATCAGGTAACATTAAATAGTAACATTGCTAATGCAGTCAAGTAATCAAGAAAAACTATTCAAAATTAATTATAATTCTTGAACCAAACCCCAAAGAGTCAATAAAAGCCTTGTCTACTAAGGTCACCTTAATCAAAAAGTGTATTTCCTATAAGGTATTGTGCATTTCAGTACTGCTCCTCCCTCAAAAATTGCATACTCCATTCATCAAATTAGTCATGGGATTATATTGATTCCTCATAAATGTCTCAAGAAAACATTTTATGTTATCCTGGAACACACCTTATTAAATCCAAACATAATCATTTTATATCATCCTAGAAGAACCAAATAGTTAAAAATTCAAGCCAAGAATGAAATGATATCGTGTATTCATCTATAACAACATAAGCTATAGACCACACTATGATTATTCAACTTCAGAAGTAAAAAATATTAATAGAAAAAGAAATCTATAGAAAGTTTGGCACAATTTTTTCTTCAATTTATGTTTAAAAAAGAAATTAATACACTTAAATTATATAGA